GGTTTGCAAAAACCCAGAAGTGTGAGTTCGGGCATCAGCCAGTCAGCGAAGAGCCATATATTCTGTTTGGCAACGATTCCAAGATCGAGGATTTAAAGCCGAACAGCAGCGATTGGTTAAATGAAAAAAGTACCCCCTACCACTGAGTGAACAAATCCTAATGCTGCAGGTCAGCAGTTTCTACGAAGTGGAAACTGGCCGATGAATCAGGCTAGCTGTTTTGTGCTGCAAAAAGTTGTTTGTGTAATATGTTCTTAGCTATTTCGGCCATGACACTTAAAATATGCTAAAATTTCAAACTATTTCATAAATTTCTGTTTTGTGCGCCGTTAATATTTTACTTTTTTAGTTAATTTTTAAAGTTATTATTTACTTATTTTGCTGATTTATTTTTTTTTTGATCCGAAATGACATAATGTCAAAATAAAATAAGTTAACGTATTTGACGTTTTTGTGTACGTTAATGGGGGGCCAACTTCATGCAGGTGAAAAACAGGCATTCTGACTGAGAGCGGGTCCTCTCCAAGATTCGACCTGTAACCTGGTGATTTGTTCTCCATGAAGATAGAAAGGTTTCTAATACCATAGTGTGTGAAACACCTCCATGGACAAAAGCATTTGACGGACCTTCCAGAAGAAAAGTTACAAAATGCACCTGTAAATTTCGCAATTACGGCTCCCTCCAAACTGCACTTGGCACTTGGAAGCCCTCAAAACTAGATCCTGCTCACTATAACTCTCATACTTTGTGTTGAGTTGTAATCGTGGTGTGTCTCTGTGAGGTTCCAGGATCTGCCGCAGGTGGTGAGAAGGACGGCTGAGTTCCTGGAGAAGCCCCTGGACGAGGAGCAGGTAGACAGGATCGCAGACAGGTGCTTGTTTAAGAACATGAAGAAACACAACAACAAAGCACCCGCCGCCATCGACCACTCCAAGTTCTACAGGAAAGGTACAATTTGCACTTTCAGTCATGTAAGTAGATGTTTAGTGCAGAGGTCGTGTAACACCGTCTGGTCCTTCATTCTTCACTGTGATTGGTTGAATCCACCTGTCACTAATGTGCACGAGTATCCCGGCTTATGTCCTTGTCCTGGTTATGGCGGAATTCTGGATATGACGTTTACATGCGCCCAGAGAAACCAGGATAGTGTTCTGGATAGTTAGAGTGGTTGCTATGGTAACTACGGCACAGACATTGCAAGAAGCTAAACATTAGGAATGTAACGAATATGCAAAACACTCAGTACGATATTTTCACGATTTTTACGATTATGATGTTTATTGTGATATTTTAAGGAAGGCTAACAAAACTGTGAATACTCTACTTTTTCCTTTTAAAAAGCCTTGACAAGACTTTACTGAAAAAACGAAGAATGTAAAAGTGCTTAAAAAGTTATTTCTTCATGTAGTCTGCACTGAAACGAAACAAAGGATCATGGTCCATGTAGTTCCCTATTTTTTTTAGGTATTGTTGCACCATAACTCTTAATTTAAGCAAAGAGACTTGTAACTCGACATATTGTGATGGTCCACAATATTATTGCGAGATCTTTAACGATACAATATCATGATATTTCGAATATTGTTACATTACTACTAAACCTGTAGCAAATTTTATAACTTTGAACAAGTTTCAAACAGCATAAAACACTTCGTTACTTACATTCAAGTAAGAATGTGAGAATGTGGAGCAGCTAAGGATGTAACCATATCCAAATCTCTCAATATAATATTTTCACGGTATGATAATTATTGCCATATTTTGTATAATGGAGTGTGAATATGCTACTTTTCTATGTAAAATCCCTCAGTCGTCCAGGTACAATGCATGGCAAGGAGAAATTCTATTTGTCAAATGGACAAAAAAACAAAAACTACTTTTGTCCTGTTGACAAATTGAACTTCTTCTTTGCCATGCTACTTTTCTGTTAAGATTCAAAAGTGTTTAATAACAGTTATTTCATCATGTAGTAGATTGGACTGAAACAGAGCAAAGGATCATGGTCTATGTAGTTCCCTCTGGTTTATTAGCTATTCCTGCACCATAACTCTTCATTTAAGCAAAAAGACTTGTAACTCGATATATTGTGATGGTCCACAATATTATTTTGAAATCTTTAACGATATAATATCATGATATTTCGATTATTGTGGCATCCCTACTAAACATGTAGCAAATTTTCTAACATTTAACAGGTTTCTAACAACATAAAACACAGTAAGAACGGGAGACTGTGAAGCTCAGTCACAGCTATGGATGTAACAATATCCAAATCTCTCGATATATTTTCATGATATGCATCCCACGGTACAATATTTATTGCAATATTTTGTATAACAGAAGTGTTAATTTGCTGCTTTTCTAGGTAAAATCCCCCAGTCATCCAGTTAGAATGCATGGCAAAGGAGAAATTCTATTTGTCAACTGGACAAAAAAAACCAAAAACTTTTTTCCCATTGACAAATTGAATTTCTCTTTTGCCATGCTACTTTTTGTCATAATGCGAATAACTAAGATTCAAAAGTGTTTAATAACAGTTATTTCATCATGTAGATTGGACTGAAACAGAGCAAAGGATCATGGTCTATGTAGTTCCCTCTGGTTTTTTAACTATTGCTGCACCGTAACTATTTATTTAAGCGAAGAGACTGTGGAGGACTGTCACAGCTTCAATAAAAGGGTTTTTTAACACAAATGCAGGATGACACACATTGTCAGTGTTGTCCGAGAGCAACACAACGACACAGTGGTGAGTCTGGTGTTAAAAGATGACTGTATTAACCAGGACGCTGCTTCCTTTTGTATATTATTACTTAAGAAATCCTGGTAAAAGTTTTACTTATTATGGGAAAGTAACTGCTCCCACCGTATCTGTTACTTCAGTTTGCACATGCTCAGTACAGCTCCAGTGTTGACCAATCAGAATACTGCATCTACATGGACACTAGGGATGGACAAGATCTCGTGCCACAAGATCTCGCAAGACAAAAATGCCACGAGACTGTGTACATGTGAGAAAAATTATCTCATGAGATTTTTTTTCCTCATTTGGATTGGACAAAAAAAGGTGACGCACTGGTGGGTCGCGTATTTTGAGAAGCAGTAGTTCCAAAAAGCACACAAAAAGCAACAAAAATATTCTATGAAGTAAATACAAATTCTGAAGCCAACTTTGGGAACTAAATCGGACTATTTACATCGTTAAAAGTGATGTGTGAAAATCTCGTCTTGTCTCGTTCTCGTGGATCTGATCTCGTGTCATGTCGAGAGTCTCGCAGTTTTTCAAGTATACTGCCTTCTCCAGGATACTGACATCAGGATACTGCGTTTTCATGGACACTTAGAAAACCAGGACACTCCAAAAACCTGATCAGAACCGAAAGTAGACGGCGTGTATGTTAGTTTGAGCTACAGAATCACCCTGAATCACCGTAGATAGACCCGACTCATAATCTGATATTGGTCATTTTTGAAAACTTTATAATTTTTTTGATTGGAATTTGTGTTTCAGGAATTGCTGGTGACTGGAAGAACCATCTGTCAGAGGAGGAGGTGCAGCACTTTGACTCTGTATACAAAGAGAAAATGAAAGATGTTGATTTTAAGTTCCCGTGGGATTAAAACGTTTTGTTCTCCAAAACATTTCACTTTTAATTTCTTTTTTTTTTTTTTTTTTTGGGTGGCACTTTTTAATGCACATCAATTACAAATCAACTCTAAAATAGTTTCTTCTTGAAGGTGCTTACAGTGCACTTCCTGACCTCAATATGACCTCCTTATCCAATATATCTGAGCAAGAACAACTAGCATGCTAACAGTGATACACCAGCCGCTCATTGACTTTTATTTATTTCACATTTTTCTCCGATCAAAGTGCATGTTACAACCCGACAGAGCCTCGTCAAGAATATCAATTCGAAATAATGACACAGGTTTGACACGAAACAAGCAAAGAAAGCGGCTCATCTGTACAGTTCGATCTGCAGCGGCATCTTCAGAGGAAAACAAAAGAGAAAGATAGAGAGAAATCCACTGTACGCAAAAGAAGGACAATTTTTGACCCAGGTTTAGTCCAGACTTGGTCCAGGTTCAGTCCTGGGCGATAGTGCACTTCCATAGGGCTGGACAGTTCGTGGTCCAAATGCCAAAGAGAGAAAGCTGATGTTTCAGCGACGTGGATCTATGGCAGAGAAAAAGAAAAAAACAGATTATAAATTGACAGAGGTGGGAGCAAGTCATTGTTTGACAAGTCTCAAGTCTTTGACCTCAAGTCCGAGTCAAGTCCCAAACCAGATACAGGCAAGGCCAAGTCACTGGCCCATAAGTCCAAGTCAAGTCCAAGTCGTCTGCTTTGAGCTCAAGTCATTTCAAAGTCTTTAAACCAAAGTACCAAATATAGCTTAGATTTTTGTGATTTTTATGACTTTTAAAATAAATTGTACTTTTTAAAAAATCATAGTACATTTATATTTGAGTATTTATAGAGTATATAAGAGTTGTACAAATGTAAATTTTTCCTTTTTAAATGTCAAGACAAGATCTTAGAATGAATCACTGCTGTCAGAATAGAAAGAATTCAGATTTGAAACAATTCAGATTCTCAAATCATTAACCCTCAAGTCCAAGTCAAGTCCCAAGTCTTGCTCCATTTTATCAAGTCAAGTCTCAAGTCCTAAAATTCGTGACTCAAGTCTGACTCGAGTCCAAGTCAAAACCTGCAAGTCCCCACCTCTGTAAATTGAATCTTAATGGTGCATTGTGTAGAATTTCTGCTGGAAGGTCCATCAAATGCTTTTCTCCGTGGAGACGTTATTGCTTCGTCTTGAATATTTCACAGTATGCCTTTCTACCTTTCTGTCTTCACGGAGACCAAACCAGACCAAATTACAGGTCAGATCTGTGGAAAGGTGACCCTGCTCACAGTCAGAATGCCAGATTTTTTGTTTTTCTAGGTATTTTTGAGCTATAAAACCACCTGTAACTGAATAAATGTAAGGTAGAGCTGAGTAATGTCACACTGTAGAACATTCCAGGCAGAGCATCTAGCAGGTGACGGACCTCTAACCAAAAAGTTACATAGTGCAACTTTAAATAAACAACATATAAAGTTAAAGATGCACTGTGTAACTTTTCTGGTAGAGTAAATCTAGATTTGATTTGTAATTACAGGTGTTTTTAAGGCTCAAAAATGTATTGTTGCTGTGGGCGGGTCAGCCTCTCCACAGATCTGACCTGTAACTTGGCCCAGTTTTTTTTTTTTTTGACCAGTGATTTATGTAACTATGGCGCCCTCAAGTGGCAGAAGAATTTTACATCTGCACCAATTTAATTCTTTACCACAATATGTGTTTATTGTTTACAAAGTCATGGTTTTTAATGTTGAATAAAGCTTGGTTATTTTATACTCTATTCGCTGTTTTCATTTTTATTTGCTTTTATTTATTCATTTATTTTCAGGCAAAGATTAAGCCCTAAAAATTGCATTGTTTTTCACTTTCGCCACAAGAGGGCAGTAAGATCATTTGTGGGGTTTTTTCCCCCTGTAACAATGAAATTTGAGTCATAATTTCCACATAACATCGACTACTGATACAAACTTTACCAACAACCCAACTATAAATGAAAATCTGATGGGGTTTTTTTTTTTCTTCTTTTGAACAATTCTCAAAACTACAGGCTCTGTGTCCAATTTCACAAAATATTACAAACATTTACTAACCACACTGCAAAAACCAATATCTAGGTAACTTAAATTTACTTAAAATTAAGAACATTTGACTTTTATTTGAGTAGAAGTAAAATGATCTATCAATGAATGAATGTTTCTTATTTTAAGTTAAGAGTTAAGAGTATTTTTAGTGTAGCAATGTATTTTCATATTTTAAGTAAAAAAAAAAAAAATCTTAATTCAAGGTGCACTGTGTAACTTTTCCGGTGGAAGGTCTGTCGAATGCTTTTCTCTGTGGACATGTTTTTGCTTTGTCTTGAATGTTTCACAGTATGGCATTAAACCTTTCTATCTCCACGGAGACCAAACCAAACCAAGTTACAGGTCAGATCTGTGGAGAAGCAACCCCACTCAAACTCAGAATTCCTGTTTTCTAGGTATTTTTGAGCTCTAAAACCACCTGTGATTGAATAAATGTAAATTAGAGTTGTTTAATGTCATACTGTGGAACATTCCAGACAGAGCAGTGACATCTCCATAGAAACAAGCAGGTGACGGATCCCCAACCAAAAAGTTACATAGTGCAGCTTTCAAATAATCTTAACTCGATGTGAGTTTTTTTCCCCATGTGTCATTGGTGCGTACTTTTACTTTTACCTGTGTCTACGTGGACAGTCCCAGCGTGTTGACAGTCACACACCCCAGCTGCAGTAGTAGTATTTGCAGTAGTAGTAGTAGTAGTAGTAGTGGAGGGAGTGTGTGGTCCAGCGCGGGGGCCCCTGAGGGTACGGGCTTCCTCCTCTTGGGGCCGTTGCACAGGGGCGTGTTGCAGCAGGTGATGCACACTGAGTTGAGTCGGCCCGTGCAGAACTGCTGGTACCCCGAGGACGCGATGAGACACGCTCCAGAGGACGCACACGACTTCCTGTAGTGGATTCCTACGAGAAGGAATCCTCCCCCGCCCCTCCTCCCGCCTCACTATCCTCCCCTTTAGTCTTCCAGTTGCCACCTCCACACTCTCCCCTTTGGGCCCCCAGATCCCCCCATTCTCCCCTTTAGAACCCCCCCCCCGGCGCTGCTCATCTGTGTTTAGAATGCGCTCGTGGGCGGGGCCGAGGCGCGCAGTGCCGCTTCAACAACACTGTGCGTGAAGCGCTCAGACCCGTTTTTCGCATCCACAGATTTACGATCGATGCTTGACGATCCGGTTTGACAATCTTTTCAAAGATCATAAAAAGGATAAACCCGAAGATGAAATACACTGTGATGCTCGATGTCCAACATGGTCGATCCCAATTTCTACACCTTGTACCAGGGAATGCACGTCCCCAGTTTCTTCTACACTCCGGAGTCTCTGAAGTACTGGGAGGACTTCACGTTTCGCCCGGATGATGTCATTGTAGCAACGTACCCCAAATCAGGTATGTTATATACATTGTGTAGTACTTCTGTTGCCTATTTGCAGTTACTTTTACTCAAATATTTACTCAACTTTTGTTTGCGTAACTTGAGTGCTTCTTTTCTTTTGAGTAGTTTTCAGACACCATGCTTATATATATATATATATATATATATATATATATATATATATATATATATATATATATATATATATATATATATATATATATTAGAGATGCGCGGATTGCGGTTACAACCGCGGTATCCGCGGTTAATCCGCGGGTCGGGCGGATGACGTGACGAAAAATTATATTTTAATTAAATTCGGGCGGGTGGCGGTTTAACTACTAAAAAAAAAAAAAAAAAAAAAAAAAATTATAAAAAGTTATTGTTAGTATTGTTACGTGCATCTGAAAAGACGAGTCTCATTGTCTATGCTTGTAGTATGAAGTGTACGTCATATCCTTAATTAGCCCATTTGACCTCGTTTTTATGTTCTGAAGGTTAAGGTTGTGTCGGGTTATTGATGCCTAAGGTTTACGAGGCACATATTATATGCAGTTTATTTTATTATTTCTAATTTATTTCAGCTGTTTGCCAACACGTAAGTGGCTATAGGGCCATATTTATTTAGTTATGCTTTTTTTTGTTTTGTTTTGATATCATATATTTTAAAACACGCAGACATTATAGCGTAGACTGCCACTCGAGGTATTTAAAACTTAAAGAAAGACCGATGGAGTGAGGCTATGACTTTGAAATAACATCGGGCAATGGCAAAATGTTCAGAATGTAACAACATCCAACACAAAGGCAAGAAGCTTCAAAAATAGTCTAGTCGGAAAACGTTGTCAGTTAATTAGCTGCGCAAGAAAACCAGGTAAGTTTGGGGTTGTTACGGACAATTAACTGTGTCGGCGGCAAGGTGGGGCATTTGAGGGCCGTGCCCCCCCCTAGCGGCCACTGGTGCCCCGCCCCCCAACAGGCCGTTATTATTACTACTTTAAAATGATTTTGATTGGCGCATTTCACTTCGGGCTGAGGACACAAACTTTACTGTGACATCAATGACATCACAGTCTCTGTTTATTTAGTGTAGTGTGATTGGACAACTGTCCTGTCACTCACGTCACGTCACGTCAACCTGCTGCGTCAACTCGTAGCAGCTCCACGATTAGCGGCAGCTGCTACTTTAGCCTAAAGCTCCACACAGGAAATGGCGAGAACAGAGTCAAAGACCCGACCTGACAGACCCGCCGCCGGGACCCGGGACTGTCGCCGCTGGGACTCGGGGCAGTCGCCGCTGGGACTCTCGCTGCCGCCGCCGCCGGGGCCAGGGCAGTCGCTCGCTGCTCTACCCGCCTTTGCCCGCTCGTTTCTGGGTGTAAAAGTTTGACGTGAGCATAGCGCGCAGAGGCATAATTCTACCTGGTGTCCTGGTGCTGATATGGACTGACCGTAACTTTCAGATTTAAGTGGGAAGTGGGATTAAGACTCATTTTACAACCATCTTGTGCACTCGGCTCCCGGACCTCGTGTCATGGACCAGACTGGACCAGGATTTGGACCAGTTTCATCTCTTCATATTGGACAATAAACTTTTGGAAACAGAACCAGTGGGACAGTGGACAGAGGAAACATTCTGCTTCAGTCTCTGGAGAAGGTAAGAGGCTGGTTTTCATTAGTTTGCGGCAAATCTGAATTTGGAGCCTCACAGGTAAAGAGTGTTATAGTTTAATAGTTAAATAGTGTTATAGTGTTAATAGTTAAATAGTGTTATAGTGTTAATAGTTAAATAGTGTTATAGTGTTAATAGTTAAATAGTGTTATAGTGTTAATAGTTAAATAGTGTTATAGTGTTAATAGTTAAATAGTGTTATAGTGTTAATAGTTAATAGTTAAATAGTGTTATAGTGTTATAGTTAATAGTGCGTAAATGAGCTGGTGGGTGCGATGGAGCTGCTCTGGTTGTTCTGTCGTGTGCTGTAGAAGCGGCATCTGTGTTCATGTCTCTTATTGTAGTTTTGCAGATGTTGTTGGGTCTGGGTGTGAGCGGCGTGTTACGTTGTGTTGTTGCGTAAAGTTTGCGCTTGGCTGTTCATTGTGCTCTGATCGATACTGTTCAGCCAATACTAACCAAAATATCTGTTTCTGGTATTTGTTATAATACTACAGCCTATATATATATAATACATATATTATTCATAATATATATTTATAATTTTGCCCTTGGTGCCCCTCCCAAAAATTATACCATCAGCCGCCACTGGTCCTGGTTTAGTCCTGGTTTAGTCCTGGTTTAGTCCTGGTTTAGTCCTGGTTTAGTCCTGGTTTAGTCCCGGTCCCTCAAGTCTCAGGTCTCTATAGGACAGGACTGGACGGCGACTCGCGTACCACGTTCACTACAGCCCTGGTGCTGTCCGATGCGTGGTTATTTCTAGTTCAGAGGTGTTTTTGACGAGAGGCTGTTGTTTAATGTTTACAACCAGTGGCAGGACTTATTGTTTTTTAATAAACCTCAACCTTTTATTATTGTCTTGTGTGTGTGTATCGTCTACCACACAGCCTCAACAACTATTGCAGCTAATAATAATAATAATCTTAATATAATAATGATTATAATAACAAGACATAATTAGCCTAATACTGTTAAAGAAAAACGTGTTTGATAGCATGTCTGCTGTGTATGACTCCACCGCGTTAAAAATATTTCTCAAATGGCAGTGCGCCCCCTGCTGGTGACCCATGCCCCTCCAGTAGATGTGCTCTGACGCCGACTCTGACAATTAAGAATGCGAACATACACGCTGAGCGAATTTTGGAATGAATGAGCTATAGTTTGCATTTTTATCGAGGTTCCTTAGTTTGTTTGCTGTATGATTGTTCTAAAATATAAAATCAATCGGCGGATGGCGGGCGGGTGCGGTTTTGAAAACCTTCGGTGCAAAATGGATAGCGGGCGGATGATGAGTTTTGCGTCGCGGTTGCGGATGAAAAAATAGCCCATCCGCGCATCTCTAATATATACTTTTTAGCGTAGCAGTACTTTCTATGTTGACAATAACGATTTGAGCAGCCTTCAGATTCGTGTTTCAAATTTTTGGGTGTAAAATTTGAAGTAATTGTACTCTTAATGAAGTTAATGTTGTGTATTTATCAAAAAGCATACTGGATTTTTTTTTTTTTTTTTTTTGAGCACTTCCTGTAGGTGAAGGGGTTAAGTGCTTAGATTAGAATGTCTTAAAATAAGCGCCACTTACTGGTCAGATCTGCGGAGAGGTGACCACAGTAAGAATGGGGTATTTTGAGCACCAGTAACTGAAAAATTTGAACGCAAGATAGACCAGTTTCAAAACATCCTGGTTACGTGAAAGTACTCTTACTTCACTAAAGAATATTTGGCAGGTAGGCAAGGGCGTAGGTTTGCATAGGGAAGATGGGGACACGTCACAACCAGTATTTGGGGAAGACAAAATAGTCCCTACCAATATTTGCCATTTTATTTTAATAAACAAAAATATGAATTTATTCCAATATTTTTGCAAACTCAATAGTTTTAATTGAACAGGTTTGAGTTGTTAGACGTTCTGAGATGTATTCATATGTACTTCTATGACGACAGGGGTTACTCATATTTCATTGGAGTGATGTCATTAATAATAATAAAAATAATAATAAATCAGACTTATATAGCGCTTTTTGAACACTCAATGACGATTTAAAGACAAATAAAGTGACACTGTAGAAAACGGTAGAATCATGGAGAGAATGCCACATTGAACAGGTGAGTTTTTAGAAGTGATCTGGAGTGCTGCAGTGGGTCCAAATTCCTGATGGATTGTGGGAGTGAGTTCCAGAGGGAGGGAGCGGTGGCGGCAGTGGCGAAGGCTCGGTCCCCCAAGGTCTGGTGCTTTGTCCTGATGAGGGGAATGAGGAGGTTGGTGTGGGCTGATCTGATGCGGCGAGTGGGACAGTGCCAACAGAGGAGGTCAGTGAGATCGGGAGGGGCCAGGTTATAGAGGAACTTGTAGGTGATGAGGAGGACCTTGTATTGGATGCGGTGGAGCCAGTGGAGTTGCTTAAGGACAGGAGTGGTGTGGTCTCTGGTGTGGGTGAGGAGGCCGGCGGCAGAGTTTTGGATGTATTGCAGTTTTTGGAGGCGGGTGGAGTGGAGACTGTACAGTCAGCTGTTGCAATAGTTGAGATCATTAGTGTCATTAGTAATAAGTCATCGAGGAAAAAGAACAACTATCACCACAAGTGCACCTCCCAAAAGGAGCCCTAGTCGTGTAGCCAGGCTGGCGCCACCTAGTGCCTCCGCTCAATTTCATTTCTCTCCAGAGACTAGGTCATTAGGTCAGGAATCGGAATACACTAGATGGTTTGCAAAAACCTGAGAAGTGCAAGTTCAGGCACCAGCCAATCAGCAAAGAGCCATACATTCAGTGTTGTCAACGATTCCCGAGATTGAGGATTTAAAGTTGGAACAAAGAGAAAGTTTGGTGAATTTTATCCATCGGAAAGACGTTTTTGCCCTTGTTCCTACGGGATTTGGGAAAAGCTTAATATACCAGTTAGCCCCGTTAGCGGCACATTACATATGTGACCACCAAATAGCAGCGATTAGTTAAATGATAGGAAGTACTACCGTCAAGTGAACGAATTCTAACACTGCAAGCTCAGACGGTTTCTACGAAGTAAAACCATCTGATGAATCAGGCTACTACTCGTGCGCTGTTAGCAGCCCAACTCTACTGACAATATTCCATGGGAAAATATCTGGACATTACCTCACAAATATCTCATCACCAACAAGCAAAGGGAAATCTGCTACAAACTTCTATTCACATCTGGATTGTTTTTGCTTTTAAACGTAAATATTGTGTAGAGATTGAATTATTTATCTGGAGTGGAAGAAATGATTTTTTTGTTCTTATCTGGAATGCCTGGAATTGCTGATCTCTACTGAACAGAAGGTAAAAGACGCTGTTAACATCTACTACATGACATCACAAAGTGGAATCGAGCAATTTGGATTTAAAACTGTACTATGTACCTTTTCGATTTGGGGTCCGTCACCTGCTTGTTTCTATGGATATGTCATTGCTCTGCCTGGAATGAAAGCATGACATTCTTTATTTTATCTTTATTTATTTATATAGCGCTTTTCACAGACATTTTTTGCCCCCAAAGACACTTTACAGAGCATTATTCAGCATTATTCATTCACTCTAGACCTGGTGATGGTAAGCTACTATTGTAGCCACAGCTGCCCTGGGGCAGACTGACAGAAGCGCAGCTGCCATGCCACTCGGCGCCATCGGTCCCTCTGACCACCACCATCACTCACACACACACCACTTTCATACTCGGCAATGTGGGTGAAGTGTCTTGCCTAAGGACACAATGATTGAAGTGATTGTGTTTAACTGACCTTGACTATCAACTGGAGACCTGTAGCATGTTTTGGATTGACATTAAACAGCTCTACCTTACATTTATTCAGTTACAGGTGGTTTTATAATGCAAAAATGCCAAACAAAACAGTTTTGGTTTCCATGAAGATAGAAAGGTTTAATACCATACTGTGAAACATTCCAGACAAAGCAATTACCTTCACCAGAAAAGTTACAGAACGCACCTTGAAGAGACGGAGACAGACTCATAACATTAGGTTTACTCAGACATGTGTGAATGAAACAAAACACAAATCCAAGTCTGTTTTTGAGGAAGTAACAACATTCTAATATGCCTTAAATCTCCAGAGTCCATTTTGTGTAATATTGGACCTGCAACAACCAGAATAAAGTATAACACTTCTTCTCCAAATGCTTTTAGGTACAAACTGGGCGATGGAGATGGTGCCACTGGTTCTGTCTGGAGGGGACTCCAGTCTGGTGGACTCGGTGGCCACATGGGAGCGCAGTGCCGGGATCGGACATGTGCAGGTCCTCGGCAGGGACCTGGAGAACAGGCCCTCCCCACGATTCTTTGGTACGCACTTCCACTACCATGCCCTGCCCAAGTCCTTCTACCAAGTCAAACCCAAGGTATGTACCAAAACTGGTATTGAAACTGGATACTCATTTGAGCATAGATAGATACTAAAATTAGCATCCAAACTACATACTTACCTGTGGAGGTATCAGTACTAAACCTAGCATCAAAACTAGATATTTATTTGAGCAGGTATCGATACTAAACTAAAGCTATTGATCCTACTACTACTAATAATAATGCCTGTTTTATGTAGCACTTTTCTGGACACTCAAAGACGCTTTACAGATCATTGTTCCTTCACTCCATTCTCGATGGTGGTAAACTACTATTGCTGCTATTGTAGCCAAAGCTGCCCTGGGGCAGACTGATGGAAGCGAGGCTGCCAATCTGCATAATCCACCACCATCACTCACGCACACACCACTTTCATACTAGGCAATGTGGGTGAAGTGCCTTGCCTAAGGACACAATGACAGTGCCCCACTGTGACTCCTGATTTTCCCAAAGATCTTCCATCCAAGTTCTAACCAGGCCCTGCCTTGTTTGGCTTCTGAGATCTGACGGGATCAGACTCTGACAAGCCGGTATAGACGTATAGACTAAATACTAAAACTAGCATTGAAACTAGATACTCATTTGAGCAGGTATTGATACTAAAAGTCCCATTCACAGGACAGAAATGAACCTTTCCTGAATACCTTTAGAATGACCAGAAACACTTGGCTGTAATTAGGGCAGTCTTGTGTGATGTCACGTAGTACTTAAAATTGCTCTCAAAAAGGACTGGGAATAGAAAACAATGAACGCCATTTAAGTTATATAAGAACATATAGCATGGTGCCTAACACTATACCAGGGGTCATTAAACTAAGGCCTGAGGGCCAACTCTGGCCCACCACACCCTTTTGACCGGCCCCCCAGTCCCTCTGTCCCCCACCACTTGAACTGGCCCTATGAGGCAATCCTCTAAAGTTGTTATGGTCTATTTTTTTAAATTGCTTTTTGGCAAATAACAACACATCTTCCTCTTGTATTTTGTCGATGTTTTCAATAAAAAAATATATTTATATGAAGTATTTATATTTATATTTAAATAATTATGACATATTTACTTTTGCCGCTGAATTTTCGTCACCTGCCAAGCTCGAGATCAAACAGTTACAGTCAATGCAATGTCGCTCATCACAGTCAGGAGCGATAATGTGGCCCCCAGAGAAAAAAGTTTGGTGACTCCTGCGCTATATTTTGAGACTGGACCCTAGGAAGAGCAGTCATCTTACTTGCGAGACAAATAGACAATCCATAAATAAACAAATGGACAAAATACATCTCTACTACAGTACATACATACATGCAGTACATCCATATTGTTATACATACACACACATATACTCACATACATATACATACACATACACATACACAGGTACTTTGTATATTCTGACAACACTAGTGAGTATTCCTACCATGTCTTGCAGGTGATCAACGTCATGAGGAATCCCAAAGATGTGCTGATATCTGCTTTTCACTACTACAACAGTGTGGAGTTTCACTCTAATCCAGGCACGCTCACTGAATTCTTCCACAATTTCCTCCAAGGCAATGGTAAGAAAGAGTATATGACGACTATGAAGTAACCACAAGTACTTAATTTCGTTACTTGAAGTTGCATTGTGTAATTTTTCTGGTGGAGGGTGCGGCAAATGCTTTTCTCCATGAAGATGTTATTACTTGTTATCGTCGATAATGTTTCACAGTATGGCATTAAACCTTTTTATCTTCATGGAGACCACGCCAGACCAAGTTACGGGTCAGATCTGTGGAGAGGCGATCCTGCTCACAGTCAGAATGCCTGTTTTTATTTATTTATGTATTTATTTATGTATTTATTTAAGTATTTTTGAGCTATAAAAGCACCTGTAATTCAATAAATGAAAAGTAGAGCTGTTTAAAGTGATACTGTGGAACATTCCAGGCAGAGCAATGACATGTCCATAGAAACAAGCAGGTGACAGACCCACAAACAAAAAGTTACATAGTGCAAAAAAACAAATCCTCTAGTAAAAGTATCACATGAAAAAATCTACTCAAGTTAATATGTGAAAGTACCTGTTTAAAATGTACTTCAAGAGTAAGAAGTATCTAATGCTGAGATCTGATGAAGCTTCAGTTGCAGTGATTTTGATACAGATTCGTACTGAATTTTGTTCAAAAGAAACAATTGAATAATTTATTTTATTTGTATATTTTTGTTTGCTCAAATTATAAACGTGTTACTGATGAACCCTCAGCCTTTTCAGCAGCTCTCACATACTTTTACTTTTCAGTCCTGTTCAAAAATGCAGTGGTGTAAAATACAGATACCTGCTTTCAAATGTAGTGAAGTGAAAGTAAAAAGTATCCACTTTAAAATGTACTTAAGTAAAGTACAGATACCTAAAATGTATACTTAAATGTATACTTATATTAAGCAAAATGGACTCCTGTGAGTTTTAAGACATGTTGCAGTGCTGTTAGCTCCTCAAAAACATACCCTAAAATGTGTACTTAAGTACTTTTACTTTTGTACTTCGTTACCTTCCACCACTGGGACCCTGTGATCAGTGTGAGCGTTCTTGTTTCTGTTTAGGAGTTTTCACCAAAAAAGGTGAGGGTAACTAACTGAAAAACTGTGACAGCCTTTTTTTTACAGCACAAATCAGCTCACATGTTGTAGTTCCAGCTAAGTCCATTCTTTCTGTTCCAGGAAAAGATCAGATTAAAGCCTCGCTCAGACAGAGCAGTGCCTACATTTGCATTGAGGCCCCAGGGAATATTGATAGTAGCTACTGCAAAGTATCAGTAGTGCAAGAGGATATTCCCACCTGTGCATCTTTGTGAAACATGTGAAAGTAGTTATTAAATATGTCCTGATTACATCAATCATCTGATTATTAAAAGTACAAGAACTATGTACTAGGCGTGTACAAACAGAATCTGACCACACCCATTTACATACACTCAGGTCATATCAGGATCCTGTTCAAAGCTATGGGCAGGATCAAGTAAGGTCATAACCTGTGGTTAGGGTGAGCAGACGTCACTATTTATCCAGGACAGTCCCACTTTTGAGCCCTGTGTCCCCTGTCCCAGCAGATTTATCCAAAACCACTGATTTGTCACAGTTTTATACAAGAAATGTTTCAGATGTCCCTATTTTTGACAAATGTGATCCGTGCCAACAGTAAAGAGAGGCATGCATACTGACTCATCTGTGCCAAAGAAGGTTTATTTGGGAGTGACACACAGAGAGAACTATGACCTGACGAAGATCCACTGATCCAAACATTGTCACTGAGTAAAAGCAGTTTGGGAGAAAGTGTGCAGGATTTGTCTCACTTTTCTGGTGTGTGTACACCTTAAACTTGAAAAAAATAATGTGTCTTCTTTAAATTTCTTTTGTGTCACAGTTGCGTTCAATTCCTGGTTCGAGCACGTGAAGGGCTGGCTAAATGCGGAGGACAAGTCTCATATTTTGTACCTGACCTTTGAGGAGATGCTGCAGGTGGGACTCACTGTCACTAACAGAAACATTTGGAGCTATAGGAAAACCATGGACATGCAGATGGGGTGCACTTTTTAGTTGGGGGTCCGTCACTTGCTTTTTTCTATGGATATGCCATTGCTCTGCCTGGAATCTTCCACAGTGTGACATTAAACAGCTCTACTTTACATTTATTGAATTACTGGTGGTTTTATAACTCTAAAAAAAACTAGACATACGTGAAGTTGGCCCTCCTTCAAACGCAAACCTACACAAAAACTATATCAATCATTTGTGCTTTGTTTGTGCTGTAAAAAGTTTAGCTTGTGCTGCTTTAGTTTTTGAGATATTAATGATTCTTTTATAGGTCAAATTGCATTTAGCCAGCCCCCAGGAACCTTAAAAATTCTCTAAAATTATGTAAGATGGTGTCAGTTGTTTGTGCTTCTTTTGTGCTGTTTTGTAGCCAGGCTAGATCCACCTAGTGCCTCCACTCAATTTCATTTCTCTCCAGCAACTAGGTCAGGAATCAGAATACACTAGACGGTTCGCAAAAACCCCAGAAGTGTGAGTTCGGGCACCAGCCAATCAGCGAAGAGCCATATATTCTGTTTTGGCAACGATTCCCAAGATCAAGGATTTAAAGCCGGAACAGCAGCGATTGGTTAAATGAAAAAAGTACCCCCTACCACTGAGTGAACAATCCTAATGCTGCAAGGTCAGACAGTTTCTACGAAGTGAAACTGGCTGATGAATCAGGCTAGCTGTTTTGTGCTGCAAAAAGTTTTGTTTGTGTAATTATGGTTCTTAGCTATTTTCGGCCAGTGACACTTAAAATGTGCTAAAAAATTGCAAACTATTTCATAAATTTCTGTTTTGTGCGCCGTTAATATTTTACTTTTTTAGTTAATATTTTTAAAGTTATTATTTACTTATTTTGCTGATTTATTAATTTTTTTGATCCGAAATGACATAATGTCAAAATAAAATAAGTTAACGTATTTGACGTTTTTGTGTACGTTTGCGTTTAATGGGGGGCCAACTTCATGCAGGTGAAAAACAGGCATTCTGACTGAGAGCGGGTTTTCCTCTCCAAAGATTCGACCTGTAACCTGGTGTGATTTGTTCTCCATGAAGATAGAAAGGTTTCTATACCATAGTGTGAAACACCTCCATGGACAAAAGCATTTGACGGACCTTCCAGAAGAAAAGTTACACAATGCACCTGTAAGTTTCGCAATTACGGCTCCCTCCAAACTGCACTTGGCACTTGGAAGCCCTCAAAACTAGATCCTGCTCACTATAACTCTCATACAAAGTGTTGAGTTGTAATCGTGGTGTGTCTCTGTGAGGTTCCAGGATCTGCCGCAGGTGGTCAGAAGGACGGCTGAGTTCCTGGAGAAGCCCCTGGACGAGGAGCAGGTAGACAGGATCGCAGACAGGTGCTTGTTTAAGAACATGAAGAAACACAACAACAAAGCACCCGCCGCCATCGACCACTCCAAGTTCTACAGGAAAGGTACAATTTGCACTTTCACTCATGTAAGTAGATGTTTAGTGCAGAGGTCGTGTAACACCGTCTGGTCCTTCATTCTTCACTGTGATTGGTTGAATCCACCTGTCACTAATGTGCACGAGTATCCCGGCTATGATCCTTGTCCTGGTTATGGCGGAATTCTGGATATGACGTTTACATGCGCCCAGAGAAACCAGGATAGTGTTCTGGATAGTTAGAGTGGTTGCTATGGTAACTATGGCACAGACATTGCAAGAAGCTAAACATTAGGAATGTAACGATATGCAAAACACTCAGTACGATATTTTCACGATTTTTACGATTATGATGTTTATTGTGATATATTAAGGAGGCTAACAAAACTGTGAATACTCTACTTTTTCCTTTTAAAAGCCTTGACAAGACTTTACTGAAAAAACGAAGACGTAAAAGTGCTTAAAAGAGTTATTTCTTCATGTAGTCTGCACTGAAACGAAACAAAGGATCATGGTCCATGTAGTTCCCTATTTTTTTTAGGTATTGTTGCACCATAACTCTTAATTTAAGCAAAGAGACTTGTAACTCGACATATTGTGATGGTCCACAATATTATTGCGAGATCTTTAACGATACAATATCATGATATTTCGAATATTGTTACATTACTACTAAACCTGTAGCAAATTTTCTAACTTTGAACAAGTTTCAAACAGCATAAAACACTTCGTTACTTACATTCAAGTAAGAATGTGAGAATGAGGAGCTCAGTCACAGCTAAGGATGTAACCATATCCAAATCTCTCAATATAATATTTTCACGGTATGATATTTATTGCCATATTTTGTATAATGGGAGTGTGAATATGCTACTTTTCTATGTAAAATCCCTCAGTCGTCCAGGTACAATGCATGGTAAAGGAGAAATTCTATTTGTCAACTGGACAAAAAAAAACAAAAAACTTTTTTCCCATTGACAAATTGAATTTCTCTTTTGCCATGCTACTTTTTGTCATAATGCAAATAATTAAGATTCAAAAGTGTTTAATAACAGTTATTTCATCATGTAGATTGGACTGAAACAGAGCAAAGGATCATGGTCTATGTAGTTCCCTCTGGTTTTTTAACTATTGCTGCGCCATAACTATTTATTTAAGCGAAGAGACTGTGGAGGACTGTCACAGCTTCAATAAAAGGGTTTTTTAACACAAATGCAGGATGACACACATTGTCAGTGTTGTCCGAGAGCAACACAACGACACAGACGTGAACCTGGTGTTAAAAGATGACTGTATTAACCAGGACACTGCTTCCTTTTGTATATTATTACTTAAGAAATCCTGGTAAAAGTTTTACTTATTATGGGAAAGTAACTGCTCCCACTGTATCTGTTACTTCAGTTTGCACATGCTCAGTACAGCTCCAGTGTTGACCAATCAGAATACTGCATCTACATGGATACTGGGGATGGACAAGATCTCGTGCCACAAGATCTCGCGAGACAAAAATGCCACGAGACTGTGTACATGTGAGAAAAATTATCTCATGAGATTTTTTTTTCCTCATTTGGATTGGACAAAAAAAGGTCAAGCGCTGGTGGGTCGCGTATTTTGAGAAGCTGTAGTTCCAAAAAGCACACAAAAAGCAACAAAAATATTCTATGAAGTAAATACAAATTCTGAAGCCAACTTTGGGAACTAAATCGGACTATTTACATCTTAAAAATGATGTGAAAATCTCGTCTTGTCTCGTTCTCGTGGATCTGATCTCGTGTCATGTCGAGAGTCTCGCAGTTTTTCAAGTATACTGCCTTCTCCAGGATACTGACATCAGGATACTGCGTTTTCATGGACACTTAGAAAACCAGGATGCAACAAAAACCTGATCAGAACCAGGAGTAGACGGCGTGTATGTTAGTTTGAGCTACAGAATCACCCTGAATCTCCGTAGATAGACCCGACTCATAATCTGATATTGGTCATTTTTGAAAACTTTATAATTTTTTTGATTGGAATTTGTGTTTCAGGAATTGCTGGTGACTGGAAGAACCATCTGTCAGAGGAGGAGGTGCAGCACTTTGACTCTGTATACAAAGAGAAAATGAAAGATGTTGATTTTAAGTTCCCGTGGGATTAAAACGTTTTGTTCTCCAAAACCTTTCACTTTTAATTTCTTTTTTTTTTTTTTTTTTTTTGGGTGGCACTTTTTAATGCACATCAATTACAAATCAACTCTAAAATAGTTTCTTCTTGAAGGTGCTTACAGTGCACTTCCTGACCTCAATATGACCTCCTTATCCAATATATCTGAGCAAGAACAACTAGCATGCTAACAGTGATACACCAGCCGCTCATTGACTTTTATTTATTTCACATTTTTCTCCGATCAAAGTGCATGTTACAACCCGACAGAGCCTCGTCAAGAATATCAATTCGAAATAATGACACAGGTTTGACACGAAACAAGCAAAGAAAGCGGCTCATCTGTACAGTTCGATCTGCAGCGGCATCTTCAGAGGAAAACAAAAGAGAAAGATAGAGAGAAATCCACTGTACGCAAAAGAAGGACAATTTTTGACCCAGGTTTAGTCCAGACTTGGTCCAGGTTCAGTCCTGGGCGATAGTGCACTTCCATAGGGCTGGACAGTTCGTGGTCCAAATGCCAAAGAGAGAAAGCTGATGTTTCAGCGACGTGGATCTATGGCAGAGAAAAAGAAAAAAAATGATTATAAATTGACAGAGGTGGGAGCAAGTCATTGTTTGACAAGTCTCAAGTCTTTGACCTCAAGTCCGAGTCAAACCAGATACAGGCAAGGCCAAGTCAAGTCTCAAGTCACTGGCCCATAAGTCCAAGTCAAGTCTAAGTCATCTGCTTTGAGTCTTTAAAGTCTTTAAACCAAAGTACCAAATTTATCTTAGATTTTTTGCAATTTTTATGACTTTTTAGATAAATTGTACTTAAAAAATCATAGTATATTTATATATGAGTATTTATAAAGTATATAAATGTTGTAGAAATGTTAATTTTTCCTTTTTACATGTCTTGACAAGATCTTAGAGTGAATCATTACAGTCAAAATAGAAAGAATTCAGATTTAAAAGTGCTTCTCAAGTCACAGGCCTCAAGTCTGAGTCAAGTCCCAGGTCAGATACAGGCAAGTCCAAGTCGAGTCTTGAGTCACTGGCCCATAAATCCAAGTCAAGTCCAAGTCGTCTGCTTTGAGCCAAAGTCATTTCAAGTCTTTAAACCAAAGTACCAAATATAGCTTAGATTTTTGTGATTTTTATGACTTTTAAGATAAATTGTACTTTTAAAAAAAATTATAGTACATTTATATTTGAGTATTTATAGAGTATATAAGAGTTGTACAAATGTAAATTTTTCCTTTTTAAATGTCAAGACAAGATCTTAGAATGAATCACTGCTGTCAGAATAGAAAGAATTCAGATTTGAAACAATTCAGATTCTCAAGTCATTAACCCTCAAGTCCAAGTCAAGTCCCAAGTCTTGCTCCATTTTATCAAGTCAAGTCTCAAGTCCTAAAAATCGTGACTCAAGTCTGACTCGAGTCCAAGTCAAAACCTGCAAGTCCCCACCTCTGTAAATTGAATCTTAATGGTGCATTGTGTAGAATTTCTGCTGGAAGGTCCATCAAATGCTTTTCTCCGTGGAGACGTTATTGCTTCGTCTTGAATATTTCACAGTATGCCTTTCTACCTTTCTGTCTTCACGGAGACCAAACCAGACCAAATTACAGGTCAGATCTGTGGAAAGGTGACCCTGCTCACAGTCAGAATGCCAGATTTTTTGTTTGATTTTTTTTTCTAGGTATTTTTGAGCCTGTAGTTAAATAAATGTAAGGTAGAGCTGATTAATGTCACACTGTGGAACATTCCAGCAGAGCAACTAGCAGGTGATGGACCCCCAACTGAAAAGTTACATAGTGCAACTTTAAATAAACAACATATAAAGTTAAAGATGCACTGTGTAACTTTTCTGGTAGAGTAAATCTAGATTTGATTTGTAATTACAGGTGTTTTTAAGGCTCAAAAATGTATTGTTGCTGTGGGCGGGTCAGCCTCTCCGCAGATCTGACCTGTAACTTGGCCCGGTGGTGTCATCGACTTTTCCCATTAGAAATTGATGAGGTTTTGCATCATACTGTGGGACATTCCAGGTAAAGCACTAACGTTTCTATGGAGACAAAGAAGTAGAAAGGTTACGTAACGCACCTTTAACACAGAATACTAAAGAGTTTATTATAACTCTTGATGGTGTGTAAAACTACTATTAATATATCATTTTTTTAGTTTTTTTTTTTTTTTTTTTGACCAGTGATTTATGTAACTATGGCGCCCTCAAGTGGCAGAAGAATTTTACATCTGCACCAATTTAATTCTTTACCACAATATGTGTTTTATTGTTTACAAAGTCATGTTTTTTAATGTTGAATAAAGCTTGGTTATTTTATACTCTATTCGCTGTTTTCATTTTTATTTACTTTTATTTATTCATTTATTTTCAGGCAAAGATTAAGCCCTAAAAATTGCATTGTTTTTCAAAGAATCCACAAAGGTATTCACTTTCGCCACAAGAGGGCAGTAAGATCATTTGTGGGGACTTTTTTCACTGTAACAATGAAATTTGAGTTATAATTTCCACATAACATTGACTACTGATACAAATTTTACCAACAACCCAACTATAAATGAAAATCTGACCTTTTTTTTCATTCTTTCTGAACAAATCTCAAAATTATAGGCTCTGTGTACAATTTCACAAAATACTACAAACATTTACTAACCACACTGCAAAAAGCAATATCTAGGTAACTTAAATTTACTTAAAATTAAGAACATTTGATTTTTATTTCAGTAGAAGTAAAATTATCTACCAATGAATGAATGTTTCTTATTTTAAGTTAAGAGTTAAGAGTATTTTTAGTGTAGCAAGATGTATTTTCATATTTTAAGTACAAAAAAAACAAAAAAACTTTAATGTAACTTTTCCGGTGGAAGGTCTGTCAAATGCTTTTCTCCGTGGACATGTTATTGCTTTGTCTTGAATGTTTCACAGTATGGCATTAAACCTTTATCTCCACGGAGACCAAACCAGACCAAGTTACAGGTCAGATCTGTGGAGAGGCAACCCCGCTCACAGTCAGAATTCCTGTTTTTCTAGGTATTTTTGAGCGCTAAAACCACCTATAATTGAATAAATGTAAGGTAGAGTTGTTTAATGTCATACTGCGGAACATTCCAGGCAGAGCAATGACATCTCCATAGAAACAAGCAGGTGATGGATCCCCAACCAAAAAGTTACATAGTGCAGCTTTCAAATAATCTTAACTCGATGTGAGTTTTTTTTCCCATGTGTCATTGGTGCGTACTTTTACTTTTACCTGTGTCTACGTGGACAGTCCCAGCGTGTTGACAGTCACACACCCCAGCTGCAGTAGTAGTATTTGCAGTAGTAGTAGTAGTAGTAGTAGAGGGAGTGTGTGGTCCAGCGCGGGGGCCCCTGAGGGTACAGGCTTCCTCCTCTTGGGGCCGTTGCACAGGGGCGTGTTGCAGCAGGTGATGCACACTGAGTTGAGTCGGCCCGTGCAGAACTGCTGGTACCCCGAGGACGCGATGAGACACGCTCCAGACGACGCACACGACTTCCTGTAGTGGATTCCTACAACAACAGAAGAAGAAAAACCGTTCTATGCACAGGAATGAACAATGAAGTAAATTACAGCAGACACGCACTTTTGATATCTGGTGTCCCAACTACAACAGCCTGGTCACTTTACAACTTTAGTATAATTGTACTTCTGAATGTAGTTATTTTTTACTCCTGCTTTAGTAAGATATTGTACAGTACTTTTACATGAGTAATATTGTAGAGTGTAACAGTACTCTTACTTGAGTAATATATAGTACAGTGTAACGGTACTTTTGAGTAATATAGTCCACAGTAACAGGACTCTTGGGTAATATATTGTACAATGTAACAGTACTCTTACTTGAGTAATATAATATACAGTGTAACAGTACTCTTACTTGAGTAATATAATGTACAGTGTAACAGTACTCTTACTTGAGTAATGTCTTGTACATTTATTAGTACTTTTACGTGAGTAATATATTGAACATTTATCACTACTTTTAATTGAGTTATTGTACAGTACTTTTACCTGAGTAGTATTGTAGAGTGTAACAATACTCTTACTTGTGTAATATATAGTACAGTGTAACAGTACTTTTGAGTAACATATTGCATACAATAACAGTACTCTTGGGTAATATATTGTACAGTGTAACAGTATTTTTACTTCAGTAATATATTGTACAGTGTAACAGTACTTTTGAGTAATATATTGTACATTTATCAGCACTTTTACTTGAGTAATATACTGTACAGTGAACCTGTACTTTTACTTGAGTAATATATTGTACATTTATCAGTACTTTTATCTGAGGAATATATAGTACAGTGTAGCAGTACTCATACTCGAGTAATATATTGTACAGTGTAACAATACTCTTACTCGAGTAATATATTGTACAGTGTAACAGTACTCTTATTCGAGTAATATATTGTACAGTGTAACAGTACTCTTATTCGAGTAATATATTGTTATAGAAAATAAAACCAAACAAAAACATAATGTTTTATAATTTGTACATTTCCTTCTGGGAGATTAATTTCAAAAACATTGACTCTCCCTTAAACATATTTAGTCTCCTGCCCTCTGTCTGAAATTATGACAAATTAATTCAAAAGTAAAATATTTGTAACTTGTGATTTTGGGACACGTTTTTCATTCTTGCATTTACAGATCCTGTCCATTAGGTGGCAGTGTAGACATGGAGACAGCAGGTTTTATTTCAGTGAACAAACTCCAACGCAAACTCCACAACATTCTGTTTGTTTTGATGTCAGATAAATAAAGTGTGTGAATGATGACTTCTCAAAATGGTGGATGTTTGTGACAGAAATGGAACACACTCTCCAGACGTCATTTGATTTAGAAAAATATAAGACACAAGTCATTAAAAAACGAAAGAGAAATTCTGCACTAGAACTCAAGCTTAAGGTAAGGACTAAGTAAACCAGGACTTGAACCAGGACCAGGATCAACTAGGACTAAACAAGGACTAACCAGGACTGAACCAGGTCTAAACCAGGACTAAACCAGGACTTAGACAGGTCTAAACTAGGTCTAAACCAGGACTAAACCAGGTCTAAACTAGGTCTAAGCCAGGACTAAACCAGGTCTAAACCAGGACTAAACCAGGTCTAAACTAGGTCTAAGCCAGGACTAAACCAGGACTAAACCAGGTCTAAACTAGGTCTAAGCTAGGACTAAACCAGGTCTAAACCAGGACTAAACCAGGTCTAAACTAGGTCTAAGCTAGGACTAAACCAGGTCTAAACCAGGACTAAACCAGGACCTAGACAGATCTAAACTAGGTCTAAGCCAGGACTAAACCAGGTCTAAACTAGGTCTAAACCAGGACTAAACCAATTCTAATCCAGGTCTAAAACAGGACTCAACCAGGTCTAAACCAATTCTAATCCAGGTCTAAAACAGGACTCAACCAGGTCTAAACCAGGTTTAAACCACATCTAATCTATGATTAAACCAGAAATAAACCAGGACTAAACCAGGACTAAGTCAGGACTAAAATATGACTAAACCAGGACTAAACCATGTCTAAATTAGGTCTAAGACAGGACTAAACCAGAACTAAACCAGGACTAAACCATGTCTAAATTAGGTCTAAGACAGGACTAAACCAGGTCTAAACCAGGACTAAACCATGTCTAAACTAGGTCTAAGACAGGACTAAACCAGGTCTAAACCATGTCTAAACTATGACTAAACCAGAACTAAACCAGGACAAAACCAGGAACTAAACCAGATCTAAACCAGAACTAAACCACAATCTCAACATTTTAAGGGGACAAAATCTACTTTTTGGAGCTTCTTAACATGTTATACCATTGTTCCCTTGTCAAAAACATGCCTGTTGAGGTTTTAGATACACAACAACTTCAAAAATCTGATGCAGTAGTTTAATTATGCCCTGACTACACTGCACGTGTCACAAAGCCACAGCAGCAGCTTCAGCAGGATGCATCCACGCTGCAATGGCTCTGTGTTTGTCAATGGGAAGCTGATCACCTTTGACTGAGCACGTTTAGACACTTGTAACAGATCTACAGTGAAAACAGCAGACTGAGTAGGTTTGCATTTGCCACCTGTACCTGCTGACCACGGCAAACGAGAGGAGCTCAAAAGTATATTTCAAAGCACTAATTGATCATCTTTCTGGACCTGGGCTCTTTCAAAGGAGACATGCCTCAGGAACACACTGTGCTCATGGTAAATGTACAAATACAACAGAGCGTCGAAAAATAGAGTGGATTGTGCCAAGCATCCTCATTCACTTTTAAAGCATTTTAAAATATGAGTTCAAAACAAACGTTGGAGGGAAGTACTCAGATTTTAAAATGATAGCGCTCTGAAAGGGGAGTGACAGTCCCAGGTAACATGGTGATCTAAACATGTTGTGTGTTGCAGTTAATACCCCACAGAAGTAAAATAGCCCTTCATTAACAACAACAAAAAAACTGAAGTATGACGCTGGTGTGTGATGCTGCAGGTTCAGAAATGTACACTAAGCTGCTTCTATTTTCTTTACAAACACATAAGAACAGAATACTAATAATAAAAACACTACTAAGAGTACAAATAAAAACATTGAGCTTTAATTAAGTATTAATACAATTATTATTATTATTATTATTATTATTATTATTATTATATTACACAGGAAACTGAAAAATAGAATTTCAAGACAAAATACTGTTCATGTGTTTACTAACGATTTCTTTAGTTATTTAAAAAAAAAGTGAGTGGGGAGTGGGTAGTGAAATTTGACACTGCCCTGGGTTTAAACCAGGCTAGTCCATATTTCTGTAATAAATGTGCAGCCACAGACACGCCCCCTCACATAGACACACCCCTCACGCAGACACGCCCATCACAGAGACACGCCCCTCACACAGACACGCCCCTCACATAGACACACCACTCACAGAGACACACCCCCTCACACAGACACGCCCTTTAACAGAGACACGCCCCCTCATAGAGACATGCCCTGTAACAGATACACGCCCATCACACAGACACACCCCTCACACAGACACGCCCATTACACAGACACGCCCCCTCAGGCTTGTAAAAGCCTGATCCCATCAGATCTCAGTAGCTAAGCAAGGCCGGGCCTGGTTAGTACTTGGATGGGAGACTACTGGGAAAATCAGGTGCCACAGGGGGGCGCCAGTGGCAATAACTGTCGTTGTGTCCTTAGGCAAGACACTTCACCCACATTGCCTAGTATGAAAGTGGTGTGTGCGTGAGGGATGATGGTGGTTGGAGGGACCGATGGCTTTTGTCAGTCTGCCCCAGGGCAGCTGTGGCTACAATAGTAGCTTACCATCACCGGGCATAGAGTGAATGAATAATGCTGAATAATGCTCTGTAAAGCATCTTTGTGACAAAAATGTCTGTGAAAAGTGCTGTATAAATAAAGACTTACTTACTTACTACTTAGAGACATGCCCATCACACAGACACGCCCCCTCACACAGACACGCCCCCTCACACAGACACGCCCCCTTAAACAGACACATCCCTCGCACAGACACGCCCCCTAACATAGACATGCCAATCACACAGACACGCCCTCCTCACATAGACACACCCCCTTGCACAGACACACCCCTCGCACAGACACGCCCATCACATGGACACGCCCCCACACACAGAGACAGCCCTCCAACAGACATGGTTTAATGTCAGATTAACTCATTAGACATGTTTCCTTGGGCACAAGATGATTTGTCCTGATGATAAGAAGCACTCAAAAAAGTGAATTTCCAAATATATTTGATCACATTAAATGTGTATGTGGCTGCACTGTCTGCTTCTGTCTCTTTGCATTAGATTCATAAGCACTGGGACATTTTGTTATTTTAAACCACAAAACCCACAAGAAATCTCTGTTAGAGGGCAAAAACATCATGTATCAAATATATAAAGTATTTATTTATTATTGACACTGAGCAGTTCCTTATTCCCAAAAGGACACCTGCCTCCCCTGACCCCACGTCTCCGGATTTATATAATATAATGTTTTGTTTGTTCCTCAAATTTACCTGTCCTGAAAAAACTCCAGCGAGCGTCTACATGAGCCATTTCATTTACGGTAAGAGCCACTCACCCTCAGCTCCCCTCTGCACACGCTCACGCACAAGGTCGGACATTTTGAAAAGAACAGTACAAAGTTAGGATATCTGCAGAGGTTATATCAGTCTGGGTGCTTTGAATACGCAGACATAAACAGGTATCTTTGAGAACTAGTATAAAGACGCACTGTGGACCTTTTCAAGTGGAAGCTCGGCAGATTGTCGGTCGGCCTGGAGATGTTATTAAAAAATGGATACCAACTGTGAGCAGTAATCTGGACTGGCGGAACGGCGTCATTTGTCCACGGAGATCGGTGAGATTAATGCTCTACTGGAACATTCCGTGGACGCTCTGTTTGGATCACATCAAACACGGTGGCTTAGAAGTAAAAAAAGGATTGAAAAGCAGCTCAGAATTCAGCGCAATCAAC